CATTCACAATTACCATAATCCCCGCCTATGAAATACAGCTACGCAAATTGCGTGTCCAGGAACGCAGTGGAATATTCTGGTCTACTTTCTCAGGTTTGGCTCCAGTATATTGCATAAATGCTAAAAACACTAATAGGCCATATGCCTAACAATAAATATTCAATAACGTGTGTCCACAAAAGCGTTTTTAGCCAGCTGAAAAACTGTCAGGCGCTCTTCTTAAAACGGCCAGCTGGTGGTGCTGGAGGATGCTTTGGTGGCACAGTGTTTTTCTAGCTGAGCCTGAGAGACGCTTTGGTTGCTATGATTCAAAATATCCACGGCAGTAACATATTACTAGTATCTCATTTTAAGAATATTACTGAATATAAAAATTCAGTAACCAGCAATATGAACTTCTCTATTGTTGTTCAGTTGTTGTACAAGTAGGATGATTGGTCGGTGTAGTATTTGTCCCGCCCTTCCTCCATTGATTGAACGGCTGAGTAAAAAGTGACAGTGACTAGCTACCAAAAAAAAAAAACTAAAAAAACCGGGGCAAATGAACTTGTAAAATATTATGATGGCAGTGCATCAAAATTCAGTGTCATCAGTTTGCCAAAAAGAACACAGAACGTTTTACGCACCATTTAAACGTGGTAGGGAGCAGGTGTAAATTTCTTTCGTACCAACTAACATTTTGCAAATACGAACACTTTCATGAATCCGAAAATTTACGTCAGAACGGCTTTACGAACGATTTACACAAAAATTCGTTCTGCTCATGTTTCATGAATGAGGCCCAATATCAGTAACAGCTGGGATGAAAATGCTCTTGTTTACATAACAAAACAATCTCTTTTACTGTTACTGATCAAATGTAATGGTGATATACAGACTAACAGAGCAGAGATGGTGTTTAATGGAGATTCACTGTCTGAGGGTTTCACTGGGACACTCACAGCTGCAGTAATGCGGTTTTATTTTAAGATCACCTTGAGGAACATCAGACCTGGAGGATTGGTAGAGTTTAGATCTGAACAGCTCTCTGTATTTGTGCTCTGATCTCGCATCTGAGACCATTAGATCTTCATTTATGGAACGATTTATTCAGAAAACAAGCTTGTTCGGCATCTGTCTCTCTGATTATGTTATTGTCACTGGAGTGCCGCTCAGCAGAGGGCAGTGTGTCCTCACCGGATATGTTCAGATGCAAGTGCACTGCAAACTACACACTGAGCTGTATGAAGCAGTATGCTTGAAACTGTTGTCATGTGACCTAATCATTGATGCATGTTTAATTCAGTCAGAAATATTATAACTATTAATACAATGTCACATGTTTGTTTCTGTTTAGTTCCTGTCTGCCCTTATTTGGTTCAGTTCCTGTTCCCATTTAGTTAATCATTGTTTATTCTGATCACCTGTGTTGTATTAATCATCTCGTTTGCTCCTTAATTCACCTTCCTTATAAGCCCTCAGTTTCTGTATCTTTTTTGTCCTGGATTATTGTTATTGGCAATGGTTTATGTGGTTGATGTTTATTAAAAACGCCTTTTCTTCCACTCCTTCTTCGTGCGCCGTTCTTACAACCACTACCGCATGACATATAACTTCTATAATATATATTTATGTGATATACCTTGACCTTCAGCATGAACAGTGTTATTTTAGTATTGTTTATTTACTACAACACTGTTTATTAATGTTCTGAATTAGCTTTTAATTTTTATATTTTAAGTTTTCCCTTTAATGTTTAATTTTAATAATTTTGTTACATGCTTTTGTCGTTTTTAGTTTTTTTATATTTCTATTTTCTATTTTTTTATAACATATTTCAGTTTTAGCTTAGTCATTTTAGTACGTTTAAGCACTAAGAACGTAAATACAACTTCAACTTTTCATGTAATATTTATATTTTATTTCAGCTTTATTTCATTTACCAAAAGCAATTTTTAATAGCTCTAGTTCACAATAATAACATTGTTTTGATATTGTTCAGATACATTCTGCACATCCTGCACAAAGTAAATTTTTAACATGTTGCACGTTTATATATTTTTTTGTATTTTTAGTTCTTTTCGCGGTCATCAAGAAAATACGAGACAGACCGCACCGGTGCGGGCTTCGACCCCAGAGGGTTAAGGCAATTTTTGCATTTCAAAATACATCAGATTTGCCATCAATGACAATCATTCAAGAGAACCAGTGATGCTTCATGTCACTGATATCAAACTTGAAGCAACTTAAATATCATTCTGTTCATCTCACATGCTATCATATGATGTGCAATGAAATGCATGAGTGCAGTCAAACTGATCAAAGTAATTCCAAAAAATACTTGCAGAAGTAGCAACGGTTTCTTTTACGGTCTCTAGTGCTCATATGTGTGTTGTTTGCTTGTTGTCAAACGAGATCTGTCTGTGGGAGTGTTAATGAGAACTTGTCTGCTGGCATGCGTCATGCCTCTGGGCAGATGAGGGATGTACGGGATGCCATCTCAAGGGCGCATCAGCGTGTGTCATTTACAGTCAGATGAAAAGGACGTTTACCTGGTTTGAAGTGCGGGAGCGAGTGAACACCTGGCCACGTTTCCTCCGACGGCGTCCCCAAAACCTGCACAAACACAAAGAGAGAAAACAGTTGAAGGGCAGAGCAAAGATGGCATCTGATCGATCTCAGAGAAATATATCACTCTGCTGAACACCAGCAGGGTGCGATGCTTCATTCACATGGGTTTATTATGCACAAGTGTGTGTGTGTGTGTGGGTGTGTTTAGAGCAGCAGTGCTGGCCAACAGCAGAAGCTTTTTGAAGTCTGAAGCTTGTAAAGAAAATGACTTGATTAAACACACACTGTAAGTGTGTGTGTGTACCTGGTATTCCCTACGTTATGAGGACCAAATGTCCCCACAAGGATAATTTTCACTTTGAAATTTTTTGGTCGCCATGAGGAAACAAGCTTAAAAATCATCCAGAACGAAGTTTTTTGAAAATGTAAATGTAGTTTTATGTGAGAGGTAGATTTAGGGTTAGGGGATAGAAAACACAGTTTGGACAGTAGAAAAGCCATTACGCCTATGGAGAGTCCCCATAAAACATGGAAACCCAACAACTGTGTGTGTTTGTGTGTATGGGAAGAATGAAACACCACTCCTTTTAGAAAACAGATCCATCAGTGTGATCGTGAAGGATCTGTAAATCTGGACAGTTTTCAGTCCTGCAGTACAAGTGTAGTAATTAGGATGCAATATTACTGCCGCTTTTAAGGCTGTTGTCCTGCTTCCTAGTCCAGGAGAGTGTCTTTCCTACAGAGTTTAAATTGATCTGAATTAAGTGGACCTCAATCAACTAGTCAATCTTTGCATTTACTTTAACAAGAGCCAGGTGTGTCGAACCTAAACTAAGGTGTGTCGAAACTAATCGAAGGTGTCTCGAAACTAAACGTAGGTGTGTCGAGACTAAACTAAGGTGTGTCAAAACTAAACAAAGGTGTCTCGAAACTAAACAAAGGTGTCTCGAAACTAAACAAAGGTGTGTCAAAACTAAACGAAGGTGTCAAAACTAAACGAAGGTGTCAAAACTAAAAGGTGTCTCGAAACTAAACGAAGGTGTCTTGAAACTAAACGAAGGTGTCTCGAAACTAAACGAAGGTGTGTCAAAACTAAACGAAGGTGTCTCGAAACTAAACGGTGTGTCAAAACTAAATTAAGGTGTCTTGAAACTAAACGAAGGTGTGTCGAGACTAAACTAAGGTGTGTCAAACCTTTACCTGTTAACCTGCACCCCCCATTTTGGGACTCACAGCTGAAAATGACCTACCTAACGTAAAATGGTAACAGTTCCTGACAACAGTGTGCTACACACACAATTTTGGTGTCTTTGGAAAGAAGACCCTTTGGGCTTTACTATCCATCATCCAGAGTTGATAATGCTCAAAAAGATAAAAAGTTATAGACACTGAAGTGCCTTGGAGAAAATTATACCACACTGAATGTTTTTTTTTCATATACAAATACATGAAATAAGTCCTGGAGCAATCCAGAAAAATAGCCACCAAATGTATTGAAGGGTTCTAAGAAATATTTTAGTCATTATACATACCACTGCATAGTTTTTCAATTATAAAATAATAGACAGAATCTTAGACATCGTATAAGTGATTTATTTGAGCACTAGAAAAAGACAATAAGAATAATTTTTGAGTAATTAAAAGAAAAAAGAAAAAAAAAAAGAATTAGCTTTGTATGTCAAGTACATACTGTGATAAGCAGACATACAGCATCCACACTGATAGCTGCTCATACAGTCAGTAATCACATGCTGATGGCC